AGATCTATAGTCAGCAATTGGAACGTTTAAATCAAGCCCTTCATCAGAAACGTCCTTCGCTCGTCAATCGGAAAGGTGTTCTTCTCCACGACAATGCACGTCCACGTGTAGCACAAGATTATGGAGTTGGGAAGTTCTCCCCCACCCACCATATTCTCCAGATATGGTACCATCAGATTACCATCTTTTTCGTTTGCTGTAACACCATCTTAATGGGAAACCGTATGCAAATGTTGAAGGTGTTAAAGAGGACATCGACATGTTTTTTGCTTCAGAGCCAAGTGATTTATTTAATCAGGGCATTAACAAACTGACTGTAAGGTGGAAAAACATCATCGATAAGAATGGAGACTATCTCATTTAATAAACGTTTTGTTTTGATATACAAGTTGTTCGGGTTTTTTCATCTAAAAAAAAAAAAGCGACATTAATTTCTTGACGACCTAATATAATCTATTCATAATTGTTAGTTAAGACGTGTTCGACCTTGTAAAGTATGAAGAATGTCACACAGAGGAAATTTGGCCAGCTGCACCAAAACCGTCACCGGCCCTACTATGGTCAGCGAAGAGGAAGGGGGAAATACAACAACTATAATGAATATTTAAAATGCTTATTTGTATAAATATACTATTATGACACATTGTCTAAAAGCTGTAATATTTAGGAAAGTCAAAATATGGATTTGTAGCATGAGGAAATAATGTCAACACTATGTCTCAAACCTTAAGCTTGTTTGTTTACTTTTTGCGATTGCATTTTCCCTTTAATCTATCTGTCTTGTTTCTGTAATTTTTTTATAATCTTGTATAAGATAAAAACACGAAAGTTCAGCTGAATATAGAGATAACTCAAACGCATGCGCTAGATTGCACCAATAAGCTCTTTTCTAATAAACTTCAATCTATTAGTTACATAAGCTCCTAATTGTATGTTAACATTAAGCTTGTTATATTTTTGTATTTACTATTACTATTAGGCAAAGGTTTATTTAGTTCCAAGTATAAATTTTGCCTTCTCAGTCTACTTATAACTGCTTCATTTTTATATCACTTGTAATTAATTGGGCATCAATGTATGCATGTGTACGCGTGTGCTTGTACCTGAATGGGTTGTAAGTGTTTTTGCATAGTTATTTGTACATACTTGTACATAAATATTAACAAGTACTGTCTGAATTTAATCATATTCAGAAGTACATAAAAAAAGTTTATCCAAATGGAATGAGTATACATAAACCTACTTTAAAAGTTACTGTGCTTTACTACAATTTATTATGGGCATTTTCTTTACTTTCCCAAATGTACGTTGTGTGACTAAGATAAAAGCACGTTAATGAATATGAACCAGTAGAACCTGTACCTGTGGAACTATCTGTGTAGTTATGTTGCATCATTTCCTCAGGTACAGGTGTTCGTTTTAAAGTTATATGCATGAAAATATTTCATTGCGACCATAAAAACCAGCAGATCCAGCTTTGGGTCTATGGAGCTTATACTACTGTGGTAATTGAAATATTATTTCCTCGGCTCCAATTCGGATATCTGAAACCTGTCGCACACCAGGCGAGTGCTCTTACCATCTGAGCTACAGAGTGTTTAAGCCTATGGCAATTATCAATAAGGCATTTTTTAAACAACGCAAACTACCACACTTTGACAAAATGCTCTGTACTTTAACCTACCTTCTCTTCACAATGGTCTTAGTATCTCATAATG